ATAAACCAATTTATCACCGCTTCTGTGAACACCGTGATTGTCTTTTTTTCACACATTTTTATTTGTGTATAAAATAGGCGCCATTTTTATTATACTTTTTTAATTTTTACAATATAAAAAGGCCTGAATGTGGCCCTCACAGCGATTATACGCTAAGTATTTTGGAATTAAGTAGTTTACAGGACACGCTATTTGTACGAATCATTTTCATTGAAGACCTCATTCTGTATCGTGATTCGGAGAACGTTTCATTCATTCAACACGTTGCCCCAACAACATACAACAGATACGCTCTATGGAAATCTACTCACCCGGCTCTCTAACGCGCCCTACAAGTCTATAAGGCTCGCAGATAATGTCAGTGCTACAGATACTATGAACACACATTACGAAAGTCCATCGACACAACTGAGTCAGCACGTCGAGCTGTGAGCGTCGCGCTACCCAGTGGCCGAACCTCGAGCCGGACAATTAAACAACCCTGCAGTTCCGTACAGTACAGACGGAGCGCACCACTCACGCGCGCTGCATCGCGCCACGCAGCACGGCACCGCTGGCACCAGGCTCTGCTGTGAGCACAGAGGCGGCGGTCGGGGTCTGCGACATGTTGTTAGCTGTGCACGAGGCGCGGTGCGAGCCCTAGAGCCGGTCGGTGACGCGACGAGCACTATAATCAACACCCCCGCTAATAATATGGTATACACCTTAATGTTTCGTCTTACAATACGGCCCCGCTGCGCTCTACTACTCTGCAGCTAATATTGATTTATGATCGAGTTCACCGGCTCATCAGAAATAAAGCGGCTACTGGAGTCCGTTGTCGTCAGTCGCCTTCAGCCACGAGGCTCAACAAGCACGGTCGACAGGGTAGCACAGCACAGCCATCACTTTATAAATTCACGCTAATAAGTAATAAAACCCCCGCGTCTTTCCTAGAAAAACTTCGAACAAAAGCTATAAAAGCTAATTGCGGAGGAAATAAGAACGCTTTTTTCCGGAGCCGGTTCGTTTCCGGAACCTCCGACAGTGGAAGTAGTGCATCCGCGTCACCGCTGTCTGCCATCTAACTTGTTCTCTAATCGACTCGGACCCTTGCGTTATAATTCTGTCTGTTTGTAGCTGTTCTCCGAATGTATTGCGATGTATGTCGACAAAATAACATATAAGCAACTATTATATTATTATGAATTTCCTGAGCTGATTTTTTTGTTAAACTATATTTTAGATAGTGCAGCTGTGCATTATTTGACTTCAGTTAACTTCTGTTTCACTAATCTCTCTAAGATAATTTATCGCTAACAAGTACCCTTCTATCTGTAGCCTTCCATTATTTTATTCTATTATTTCGCAAACCTAATCAAATGGCAGTTTAACTTACCTGAATTAGTTACAAAGCTGTGTCGTGAAATTTGGAAAAAAACCCATCCCGAATAAGGTTTGCGAAAAAACAGAAAAAAGGCTTTACAAGTTTTTTTGAAAGCAACACCTACGAGTACATCGCAAGTGTGACAAGACGAGCCCGCGGGCCCCTTATAAACTAATTACAGAATCGCGCTTATTGTTCAGAATCAATCTTCAAATTAATAAAAAAAGCGCTTTGTTTATTTTAGAATCTTATTTTTGATAACTTTTAATAATAGGAGTTAAAGTATGAAATTGCTGTTTTCAAATCAAATCAAATCAAAATCAAATCAAAAATTTTTATTCAACATAAATGAAAGTACATACTTGTTGAACGTCAAAAGAACTACCGCCAATTCACAAGAACTAGCCTCCGTCCTGAGAAGAATTGGCAAGAAACTCAGCGGGCATGTCTTTTTTTTTGAAATATTAGATTATTTTTTTAATATTACATTTTTTTAAATATTCATTTTTACAATAAGTAATTATAACATAACAATTTTACATTATTGAAATGCCCGGAGCGAGCAACTCATTCCCACTTTGTGCAATCTTCTAGATAATCATTGACTTTATAGTAAGCTTTATTGCACAGATGTTCTTTAATAGTTTTCTTAAGCCTATGTATATGTAGGTTCTGAACATCTTGAGGGTTTTTGTTGTACAGGCGCACAGACAAACACCCGAATGAATTTCGTATCTTATGTAACCTACTCATCGGCACAACAAGCTTGTGTTTGTTCCTAGTATTTCTATAATGTATGTCCGACATTTTAGGAAGCTCCTCAATATGTTTACGAACATACATCAAATTTTCAAAGATATACTGGGATGGCATAGTGAGAACTTTAATTTCTTTAAATTTTTCCCTCAGGAATTCCCTTGAGTGCATGTTATAAATAGCACGTATAGCTCTTTTCTGCAGAATAAATATCATTTCTACATCGGCCGCATTGCCCCATAGCAAAATGCCATAGGACATGACACTGTGGAAGTAACTAAAGTAAACTAAACGAGCCGTGTCCGCATTTGTTAACATTCTAATTTTTTTTACTGCGTATGCTGCAGAGCTGAGCTTACTCGCCAATTTATGAATATGAGGTCCCCACTGCAGTTTGGAGTCCACTGTTATACCAAGAAATACGGTTGACTCAACAAGCTCCAATGATTCCTCAGAAACAATTACATCACTATCCACTTGTCTCACATTTAAAGATGGTTTAATACATTTTAAAGTAAATTTAATACATTTAGTTTTCTTACTATTCAATAATAGGTTATTGATACGGAACCAATGAACCACACACGAAATCGCATCATTCACTTCGTCATAGACTTGTAATTGTCGTTTAATTTTAAATAATAAAGATGTATCATCTGCGAATAATACGACCTCGTGTCGGGACTCAATAAAACTAGGTAAATCGTTTATATATATTAGAAATAAAAAAGGACCCAAAATGGAACCCTGAGGTACACCCATTTTCAACAAGGTGCCTGAAGATCTATTACCTTTCACATCTACTGTTTGTATCCGTCCTGATAAATAGGAAGTAATAAGTTCCAATGCACCATCCCTAATACCATAGTGATGTAGTTTCCTCATCAATGTTTCATGTTCAACACAGTCAAATGCTTTGGATAAGTCACAGAAAATTCCAAGACAATCATGCGATTCCTCCCAAGATTGAAAGATATTTTTGATTAGATAAGCACCTGCATCAGTTGTAGAGCGACCCCTTGTAAACCCGAATTGTTTATTTATTGTAATAGGTAATTCGAATTGACATCGAACCTTCATGGTTTGAGATTTTTGAGTGAAACTTTTCTCAAATGGTATCTATGAGGTTTTTCTTTTAAAAAATGTGCAACATTCGTATATCGACTTTCAGCTGGGTTTTTTTTCAGCTTAGACAAGAAAGATCGATACTTCGAAAATTCGAGTGAATACGAGTTCCGCCGCGGAACTAACGCTGCGGAAACAGCTCGTAACATCAATGTTGCGTTTGGAGAGGGGACCGCTAATGAACGCACCGTGCGATTTTGGCGTAAACGTTTTCATGATGGAAATTATGATTTGAAGAACGAACCACGAGGAAGGCCGCCCGCGTGTATATGTGAATAGTAACGAATTGAAAGAGATGGTGGAAGCCGATCCGAGCCAAGCTACCCAGGAATCAGCGGCGTGGTTTAAGGTTACCTTACCAACAATATTGACTCATTTGCGTTAAATCAATAAAATATAAAATATGAAAATGGGTGCCTCATGATTTGACTGATCTGCAGAAAGAAACGCGTAATGAAACTTGTATTGCCTTGTTGAATCGATACAGAAATGAAGGAATATTGAATCGAATTGTGACATGTGATGAAAAGTGGATTCTTTACAATAACCGTAAGCGTAAAATGCAATGGCTGACCCCAGGTCAAACGCCGCAACAGTGTCCTAAAGCAAAGCTTACCAATAAAAAGGTAATGGTAGCTCTTTGTTGTTCTCATCATGGTGTTATTCAGTATAGCTTTCTCCGATCCGGTCAAGCAATAACGCCAAATGTCTACTGTGCCGAACTCCGAACAATGATAGTAAAACTTGCAGTGAAACAGCCCCGACTCATGAATCAACCTTCACCATTATTGCTTCATGATAAAGCGAGATCTCATACAGCACGAGAAACCGTTTTAACTCTACAGAAACTGCATTTAGAAACCATTCATCACCCTCCGTATTCGCCAGACCCGGCTGCAAGGGACTACCATTCTTTTCGTGATATGGACAATTTTCTACGTGATAAAAAGTTTTCTTCTCAGGAGGCAGTACAAAATGCTTTCACACAGTTTGTAGAATCAAGATATCAGAGTTCTATCGCAAAGGCATAGACCTTTCTATTAGATAGCAGCAATGTATAGATAATAATGGTAGACATTTTGATTAAATAAATATGTAAAATGAAAAAAAAAAGAATTTCAATTTTTCAGTACAATTCGGCAATTTCATACTATAACGCCTAATATTATGAAAGTTTTAAACTTATCGTTGACTCCGGAAGCCAATATATTATGAAGACACGATTGACCTAAGCGCACAAAAAATATGCACTGTTCGTTCATAAGTATGCCTTTCGAGGTGAAAAACCCTAGAGGCGTTAACGAATCGAGTCGTCCGTAGAGCTCGCCCGCCGCAGCCCAGTCTACCCAGCCGGGAGCAGGCCGGGAGCAGGCCGGGAGCAGGCCGGGAGCAGGCCGGGCGGCAGCGGGGGCACTAGTGATGTGCATTATGAATATCGCTTCTCGAAAATTTCAATTAATCTTGTATTTCGTATTTCGTTGGACGCTCGCACTGACGGACCTGACGCATTACGGGGCCGTCCGGGGCGCGATGCAGTCCTTGTGACAACGCGCAGGGCGCGTGTGGCGGCCACGACATGTGCGCGCACGCACCGCGCTCTGTTCTAATCTGTATGTAATTAAACACCGAGGACATGCGACACGAGATTAGCGCACGCGGACCAGATGCGCCGCGCCCCCGCACATTGTACTCCACCGTCCGCCCGACCGGACCACGACACTTTGTTCTGTACTGCTCCAATTATTCATTTCAGACGTGGGTAGCGAGGCGGTGAGGGGGTGATGCTGTGAGCCACGCGCATCATGAACGACCCGGACCGCATCGCCCGCGACCTTCTCCTCTGCGAAGAGTTCAACAATCGGACCTTGCCACCGCCAGGTACAACAATCATCAGATATTCTCTCAAAAGCTTCGGAATACTTAAAAGATTGTTTATATTTGAAATATGTATATATTATATATATATTATGTACCTATCATTTAAATAAATAAATTTAATTGATATGTGTTTGCCTGGAATGTTGTACAAAGTCATATTATATTTATGTATTAAATACTAAATTAATAATATTAAAATAATATTAATAATATTAAATAATAAATAGTAAAAATAACAATTTAATAACTAAAATATATTATTAAAAGAAGTCCCTTTAGGGAAGGTTCCGAAGATACTGGCAGCGTTCCCCCTTTGAATAGCTAGACTAATTCTTTGTCCAAGGCAGATGCCCACTCTTCGGTCTCCTGTGAGGTCGACTAACCTTTTTGCTATTTCCTTAAAAAGCCTTATAGCACTAGGACCCCACAGACCAAGAGTCTCGACACCGAATGGGACAAAAACATATTCCGAGCTTAGACCCCTGTATTTGCATGCTTTGGTTTTTTCAGCCGATTCACAAGCCGCACCAGCTCGGTTGTTGGTTCCATGTAGATGGGAAGAGGCCAGCGTGTCTGAACATGTTGCATTCCATACCAGCACCGGGCCCATCTTCCATGGAATCAAACTCATACCGTCCTGTCTCTTGCAATACCAGTCGGCTCAAGTAGACTTGGCACGTTGACGGCGGCAAGGGACCGGCGTATGGTATCATTAAGTGCGGCATGTCGCCTGAAGCGGCCTGCACTTTTTTGGCATGACAGTCCGTGATGTCCTATCTTGTCGACATCACTGCCACAGGGACATTTATGAGGAGTGCAGACCGGAACCCCGAGCCGTAGACAGGTTGCGATTCGGAGCGTGTCAGGCTCAAGAAATGTTTCTGTATTTGACGAAGGGTACGCGTGTAGCCGGCCTCGTGCGCACCCACAGCCAAAAGCCTAGCACGCGCCGAACCTATACTACGGCTCAAAATATTGTCATATGTCAATTTGTAGTTTATGTCGTCCCAGCTCTTCTGTGATTTAGAGAAACTGGAAAATTTTGAGCTGGGCATGCAATTAAGAAAGCGTTTCTAGCTTTTTCTAAGCCAGCAATCTCAAAGTTTGAAGGGGATGCCCTTAAAATTTTACTTATGAGATTTGCTGAACTATGGACGGAAGATAGGAAGGCTGGTAAATAATTAATAATACATTTATTAAATATAGTTGTAAGTGACATTGAATTCCTAAATTTCTAACTGTGTGTGACATCATACTATTATTATGTGTTTGTTCATAAATATATAATTCGACGCCCCTGTGCAATGAGTCGGTGATGTGCTATTATGTACCTTATGCTGTTATGTTAAAATCGTAATCTACGGGTCGTAATACATATTGTGAATTTTTATTATAATTTTCCTACTTACACTATCGGAGATATTTGGAATGGCCATTTTGTTGTAGGGAAAATTGTAAATACATTGATGACGAGAAAAACATCATTACACATTAATTCACTATAAAATATATTTTAATATACCTAATACGTATAAAGCGATTAAACTCATGATTATATATTTATTTCAAACAAAAACCTTGGCTTATTATTTTTCAAAGGTCTTTTTGTTTTGAACGGTAATATGAAAAAGTTGTTGTTAAATTTTCTATTCAGTACTGTATTTTATCTAGGTGTACGGTATTTCCTGCATATAGAAAATTACTATAATAACTTGGTTACGATATATTACGTTCACTAGGTATAATAATAATAAACGTTATAAAAGTCGATAGTGTGTTGTTACAATTCAACACTTTTCACACAACCTTATAAATTTACCACAATAATACCGTAAGTTACCGACCATTGCAGATCAATGAAACTTTTCTCGATACTGTAAAAAAATAATTTTCATATTGCAGCCAACAGGAAGCACATAAATTAAATCAGATGGCAAAATAGTATTTCATAAAAAAATAGCTTTCATTTGCTGTTTCAATGACCGTAACAGTCCCAGTTGTTAGAAAGTTATTAAGAAAAACAGTAAATCATTTTTCCTGTAAAATTTGCTTTTTTCGATTACCGACTTATTGCACGGCGGCGTCTATTTGCGTGGCATAGTGGGTAGTACATTTGACATAGTCGGCGTGTGGTGGGTGTGGGTACTCGTGCAGAGATTGGGCACGAATGTGTCTCTATTCCACTGGAGCGATGACACCTCGACCCTGCCGAAGCACACCACCAGAACTGAGCCGATGTTTAACGAGCAGTTGCGGCTCGCAACCACTAGGTGGCGCGCTTTCGCTTCGTTTGTCGTGTCCGGATGCGACATATATAATAAACAAAATGAATGACACGCTTTTATTGGCTAACATATTCGTTACGTAACACAACACACAATACGAGTAACATATGTAGCGGCACGGTATCCATCACAGAACACAACATATTTGACAGATGCCTGAATATCGATGAATGCTCTCGCTAACAACATTTTCAAGATAAGTTTACATGTACAGAGTGTTCTGTCAGAATTACGAAGATAGGTACGACGAAAAAAAAAGTTCCCAAGTAGGTCGTTTCGGAATAAAGAGTAGATGAACGTTGAGCTTAATGAACAAACAAGACTTCTGCCGACCCTTGTGTGCTGTTATGCGCAGGGTGCCGTATAAATGCCGTACTATTATGCGCATTCAAAAGATGCCAAAATGTTTGTTTTTGCTTAGATAGGTGAACTAGCCACACCCCCTCCTCCCCCTGATTTTAAGTGGTTCCGATCCCATAGACATCAACCAGGTATATGCCGAACCCACCTCGAGCACCTCGAGTTTTAAGTGTCCGTTTTGAATAATCTATATCATCTAGGTCGACGTTGCGTTACTCGTAGTGATAACGATAACTCGAATCACTTCTATCTCACAAAGATATATGTCCGTAAAACCAGTTCAATACACGAAACACAATAATTATTGTTAGCATCCCAACAATTTCGGACAGCTTTCGGAAGTCGTGCGGTAAGCCTAGCGTGGTGAATGAAAGATGGCTGGCTGCATGATTCCTCTACAAGAATTAAAATGACTGCTTTCTGATGTGTTGTTGGTTGTGTTTTCAGGATTGTACTGCGAGGGGACGTTCGACCGCTGGCTGTGCTGGCCTCACACGCCCGCCAACAGCACCGCCTACGGTTCTTGTCCCGAGTTCGTTCCCGGGTTCAGACCTGATCGTGCGTATCTCACTCCGAGTCCTCGCAGCCACCCAGTTGCCTCTGGCCTTCACTGATCTCTGCTCTTGTTCTAGTGTTGGCGCACAAGGAATGCACTGCGAACGGAACCTGGTACAAGCACCCGGAAACCGGCCTTCCCTGGTCCAACTACACCACCTGCGTCGTCGAGGAGGATGTGAGTGATGCTCCTCCACAGTGTGCGCGAGAAGACCTCCTCAGAGCCGCCATCAACCATAACTTGGGACAGCTGATGATAATTATCAAAATTTCCAGTTTGCAATCCTAATTTATTTTCATGATAAGATGAAAGAATAAGATTGTTGCATAACACAATTTTGTAAAATGAGGTTTGCATGAAGGCGGCGGAAGGCGAATCGCACTCCGCCGTTACGCCAGGTTTCTTCAATCTTTCCGCTTTGACGATCGTTCGACTCCACTGAGACTTCAGCCTCACGTGTCAAGACAGTCGAATGCCGGGAGGTCGTGAACTGGTCCGTGCGCCCCGAGCCGGGCGAGCCGAACTAAGTGTTCCCTTCTGAGTGCAGGACGTGAACCACATCATCGTGGTGTACGAGGCGGGCTACAGCGTGTCGCTGGTCGCCTTGCTGCTCTCCCTCGCCATCCTCTTGTACTTCAGGTAATGCCTGCTTTCTCCTCCTACGACTAGTGTCGGTCCATAGTCGTTCGCTTATTAAAATAGATAAAATGATCATGTACCCGATCAGAGATCCTCTAGATGATACTTTCTAGCAGCGTCATGGTATACACGGGGAAGATATATAATATATTGAATGACAATGGGGCGAACTCACGGCCCAACTAGTATTCAGTGGTCACAAGATCCCATAACTTAGAATATTCACTTAGATCTTCAGAAGAAAACGGCCGTCTCATATCTGTGTAATTAGAAACACTAGTAGGGGTGTCGTGACCCCGCATGCCTCGCCGCATGACACGATGTCCCTGCCTGTTTCTAGCGTCTAGAGCACTCTCAGTCGAAAGCTTTAGATAGCTTCTAATGTAGGATCGTTTCCTTAGAGGTAGCGGATCTATAATTAATTTTTCATTGCTTCTTATTGTCCAAATCTTTGGTCTTTATTTAGTCAACAGTGATTTCATTGGTGGATTGAAAACCTGTACTGATGCACCCACAACGTCCTCAGGAGCCTGCGGTGCGCGCGCATCACGGTACACATGAACCTGTNTCGAAAGCTTTAGATAGCTTCTAATGTAGGATCGTTTCCTTAGAGGTAGCGGATCTATAATTAATTTTTCATTGCTTCTTATTGTCCAAATCTTTGGTCTTTATTTAGTCAACAGTGATTTCATTGGTGGATTGAAAACCTGTACTGATGCACCCACAACGTCCTCAGGAGCCTGCGGTGCGCGCGCATCACGGTACACATGAACCTGTTCGGTTCGTTTGCGGTGAACAACGCGCTGTGGTTGGCGTGGTACGGGCTCGTGGTGCGCGACCCCACCACTCTGCAGGAGCCGCCCGTCTGGTGCTGTGCGCTTAATGCGGTGCTGCAGTACGCCATGCTCACCAACTACATGTGGATGCTGTGCGAGGGCATGTACCTGCACACGGTGCTGGTCAGTGCCTTCATCTCGGAGCGACGGCTCGTGCGCGCACTGGTGGCGGCGGGTTGGATGCTGCCACTCCCCTGCATCCTGATCTACGCCACGCGACGAGCACTCGACGGCGACCCGCTTTGCTGGGCCGAGGAGCCTGAATCGCGACCCGAGCTCGCCGTGCCGGTGGGCTTGGCCGTTCTGCTTAACCTGTGCTTCTTGTGCAACATCGTGCGCGTGCTGTGTACCAAACTGAGGGCGGGAGGCGCGGCAGGGGGGGCGGCCCGGCCGTCGGCCACCGCTTTGCACGCCCTCCGTGCCACCTGCCTGCTGGCCCCGCTGCTCGGCCTGCAGTACCTGCTGATGCCGTTTCGGCCCGCCAACACGGTGAGCTGGTGGCGCGCCTATGAGTACGCAACAGCGGCGGCGACCTCGCTGCAGGGCCTGTGCGTGGCGGTGCTGTACTGCTTCTGCAACGGCGAGGTGCTGGCACAGCTGCGGCGCCGGTGGCGCGCGCTCACGTTCCGGCCGAGAGCCAATTCCACGACAGCCACGACGGTTTCGGTAAGTACGAGAGAGGAGGCACGACAGAGGTGCGAGCTCTGAGAACGGGCGGCTAACTCACGGCCAGCCGTGTTGCAGTTCGTGCGGTCGGCGGCAACGGCCGGCGGCGAGGACAAGGTGTGACTGCCGGCGGGCGGAGCGGCCCCGGACCGACGCCGGACCTCCGGACGCCACATCCGGTTCGAATGCGTCGACAGCGACGAGGACGCGCCGCCCGACGCCCGCCTGCTCTGACCTGTGTGTGCCCCTCGCCCTCTCCTCGAAGCCCCAGTGCTGAAAGACTTTTAACCACGTACATTAAATGTTGACTGACTCGTTCGACTGAACCACAAACAGATAAATAGTTATAATTATCATCGCTGCCACGAAAGGGCACCGTGCTCCTGGTTTGAAGAAGCGTCTACCGCAGTGGATATGACTGGGAAAATTACTTATAAAGTTTTTTTTCTAATTTCCATTAACGTTATGACCTGATAACGAAATATAGTCGTCACATTGTGGCCCTCGCTCCGTGTTCCCGCAACAGCTCCCTCTCCTGCTACCTCCGACCAGCACAGGTCGCAGGTTAGAGATACTCGTCACACCACTTGTAAATTTGAATTCGTCGTGTACACGTGTCGAGCGATGCGGCTGTGCTGGTGTTGGAACACCACAGGCAGGTACCGACACCGCTAAAGACATACGTACAGAGACGGGTTTAACTGACGGTCACGAATCATTTCCACGTAAACGTTCTTATTAATAGCATCAATAAAAATCAAACCCGGAAAAAAATACTTTTTGCATAAAAAATGATTAGTGTGACGTAATTCCGGGTAGGTGCCTCCCTGCCCTGCAGCACAGTCTGGCGCTCTGTTGTGAACGCCGGTACAACTAGAAATGAGACTTCAACTTCGTGTCTCAAGGTGGACGACGGCATTCACTTAGCACCAGATTCAGATTGCATTTCTTTATTAAAATGAGTTTAAAATAATAGCATACCTAACCGAAATCGATGTTATGATGTTCCCGAGCCGTCGATGTATGTACTGTATGTTGCAAGGGCTGGAACACATTTCCTCTCGGTAAAAGCGCAGGAATTGCGACAACTTCCACCGTGGAGGGCGCGTTCAGGACAGTTAACAGCTTTATGAATCTCGTGAATTCATTAGGTAATCTAGACTTGCTAATGGAATCGTGTCAAAGAAGTGGAGCAGGCTGGCAGACTCTGTAGCCGAGCCAATCACTTTGTAGCGACACTGGTAATACGCAGATTATTCGACCAGGAGACGAGTCACTGAGACGTTTCACTGTACTAACTATTATATCACAGTGAACTTTAAACTTAGGACGTCCCTGACTCTCTCCCGGAGGCTGCGGATGTCGGCGTCGTTCGTAGGTTTGTGACGTCACTGTTCTACGAGGTACCAACCATGTGACGTGCCTTAGCAGTTGCTCTAAATTGATAACCCGAAGACGAACTTATTCCAAGTACCTGTACCACATGATATTGACAGGACTGTGTGTGTACATACGCACGTAAACAGGACTCTGTTCAATACTTTTTGTTTGTAAATAAATAATTAGATAATAAATGAATAAATGAAAAGAATTTAATGAATAAACCACACACGAATTCCTGTAAGAGTTTTATGTACAAAAAAAAGATCTGATCTTTTGCTCCTGATGAAAGGTCTTGTGTAGACAGGTTACTAGCTAGTCTAATCTAGCTGCAGTGGCGGCGTCACACGGAGCCCCTTTATCTACATGTGTGCATACTTTTGTAAATGAATATTAAAAATGTTTATGTACGTATTTCGTGTTTTTCATTTATAATCCCTTCCAAGCTATACGACGTACACGCTGTGATCCTGTCTGTGACAATATCAGTGTCCGTGCGTGACGCGTGATGATGTCGTTATGTAAGAGGAAGCCGCGCGGCGCGTCGCCACAAATAAGCGGGTTGTGCGGACCGCGCGCACAGCGCCGGGAACAATAAGTGGACGCGGCTCAGTAACAAAAGTACATGTAATCAACAACAGCTCGCATTAAATTTAACAAAGTCCTCACTCATAGACAAGACAACGCTCTCGTAGACAAATACAAAATAAATACATTATCGAGTGTGTTCACGGCCGGTTAGAAGCACTTGCGGTGAACGATGCCCGGCCCGGACTCGTCGTACTCCTGCTTCGAGATCCACATCTGCTGGAAGGTGGACAGCGACGCCAGGATCGAGCCGCCGATCCACACGGAATACTTCCTCTCGGGGGGAGCGATGATCTTGATCTTGATGGTCGAGGGCGCGAGGGCGGTGATCTCCTTCTGCATCCTGTCGGCGATACCGGGGTACATGGTCGTGCCGCCCGACAGCACCGTGTTGGCGTACAGGTCCTTGCGGATGTCCACGTCGCACTTCATAATCGAGTTGTACACGGTCTCGTGGATGCCGCACGACTCCATACCCAGGAACGAGGGTTGGAACAGAGCCTCGGGACACCGGAAGCGCTCGTTGCCGATGGTGATCACCTGTCCGTCTGGTAGCTCGTAGGATTTCTCCAGAGAGGTTGAAGCGGCCGCAGTCTGCATTTCCTGCTCAAAGTCGAGAGCGACATAACACAGCTTCTCCTTGATGTCGCGGACGATTTCCCTCTCGGCAGTGGTAGTGAACGAGTAGCCCCTCTCGGTGAGGATCTTCATGAGGTAGTCAGTCAAGTCGCGTCCGGCCAAGTCCAGACGGAGAATGGCGTGGGGCNCGTAGGATTTCTCCAGAGAGGTTGAAGCGGCCGCAGTCTGCATTTCCTGCTCAAAGTCGAGAGCGACATAACACAGCTTCTCCTTGATGTCGCGGACGATTTCCCTCTCGGCAGTGGTAGTGAACGAGTAGCCCCTCTCGGTGAGGATCTTCATGAGGTAGTCAGTCAAGTCGCGTCCGGCCAAGTCCAGACGGAGAATAGCGTGGGGCAGCGCATAGCCTTCGTAGATGGGTACGGTGTGGGAGACACCGTCTCCGGAGTCGAGCACGATGCCGGTGGTACGACCGGAGGCGTAGAGCGAGAGCACGGCCTGGATGGCGACGTACATGGCGGGACAATTGAACGTCTCGAACATAATCTGAGTCATCTTCTCTCTGTTGGCCTTCGGGTTCAGGGGCGCCTCGGTCAGCAGGATTGGGTGCTCCTCGGGAGCGACGCGCAGCTCATTGTAGAACGTGTGATGCCAGATCTTCTCCATGTCATCCCAGTTGGTGATTATCCCGTGCTCGATGGGGTACTTTAGAGTGAGGATACCTCTCTTGCTCTGGGCTTCGTCACCTACATACGAATCTTTTTGGCCCATGCCGACCATGACGCCCTGGTGGCGCGGGCGGCCCACTATGGAAGGGAACACGGCTCGAGGGGCGTCATCCCCCGCGAATCCAGCCTTGCACATGCCGGATCCGTTGTCGACGACGAGCGCGCCCGCATCATCGTCACACATGGCTGCTGATCTCGGTCACGCTGTTACTTCTCAACTGGTGTAGGGCTGGTGTAGGTGGTTGTACCGGGCGGCGTGCGTGCGGCAGAGAGCGGGCGGGCAGCAGTGGTCGCGCACGGCGTCCGGCGCGCTATATAGAGCCGGCACCCTCGCCCCGCCCCGCCCCGCCCCGCCCCGCCGCGACACGCACTCACCTTTACCAATCATGGACAATTCGTAAATAGCTTCATACTATTTTAGTTACGTGAATCACAACAGCAAGTATTGGTTTAATTGAACTCTTGCTTTTATTTTGCAATATCATTTGAATTCAATTGATGCACTATTTATTGATGCAATATACATACTTTACTATTATTCTAATTGTAAGTATTTGAAGGGCTAGACCGACAACCGTCAGACTGCTCGGCCCTTGAGTCCAACGAGACGCCCAGCCGCCTGTCGACAGAGCATTTATAAACATTACAACGTGTACTCGCAAACCGAGGACTATTATAGCACACACCAGTACCTAAAATATGTTAGATAACATGGCAGACAGCGCGCCATGCCGCCGTAAGTGAGCCGTAATACAGGGCGCGCCGTGTTCCGCGGAGACGGGAGTAGCCGCTCGTTGAGGCTTGTCTTGTAACGATGCAGTCTGGTAGTGAATAGCTTCAGCGAGTACGATCTTGACAGCACATTTGACCAATATCCAATTAAACTAATATAATAATATGAAGTAGATTCAAACTTCATCATTCCTTGACAGAGAACACAGTAATCACACAGCATAGAAGACGAACCTGCACACACACATAGAGCGCATCGTCAGGCGCCACACGGGCAGACCCGCCGCCCGGCCCAGCTCGGTCACGAACGACATTGAGAGACTTTCATTATTTAATAATTATTCTCAAAATTAACACATTAATAATAACGAGACTGCTACCTCATTACTAAAGGGTGATGTTCACCTCGCGATGTCTAGGGCCTCTAATAGCCACTTGATCGTCAAACTAGATTTGTATCACTCGAGCGGGATTGAGCCACAGACTTGCGGAAAGACCAAAGTCAGATTTCATCCGCAGTTGACTCCCGCAAGCTGCGGTCACTCTACTCTAGTCAGTTCTGTAGCTCTCATAGCACGGTGACACACGGGCAGCTCTGTTCGCTGGAGAAACAATTCGATGCGGTGCGAGGACGGGCCGAGTGAGTGCTGCATTGGCCATATTAGGTGAGAGACATCAGAAACAATTAGATACATTATTTATAGCGAGACGGTGATAATGTCAGAGGAGCCGGTGTGCGGTGCGGGGGGGGGGGCGGCCGCTCTATAATTATACGCGTGTTGACGCGCCGCGATCCATCGATGCGCGATCGACATCAATCGGCATCAATCGAGGTGAAGCGAGCGCGCACCGCGGGACTATGCAGCCCTCCGCAGCCCTCCGCAGCAATGAACCTGACTCGGTGGTCGACTCGAGGGAGCACCACATACACAACATGCCACAACATCACATACAAGTACCAGGGAACGAGGCCCTTTCCATAAAGTTATTGTAATCTACATATTCATTGCGCCTATATAAACTGCTATATTAAATTCCGATTTGAATATTAAACCGAGCTAGAACTTATGACTCACTTGTTAACTTATTATGCTGAATGAAACGAATGCTGGATTATACTTGCAGTACTCACAGTGCAGGGTAAAATAACTTTAAAAAAAAATTTTGGATAACTTGCTTGAGATCATCAAATCTTTGAAGGCTTTCCCTTTGCATGCGAATGACATTAAAATTGATCACGACGAACACCTCAGGGTGGATTCCAATATTAGGGCTTGTTCGCGCTGACGTTTGTGTCATCCGTATTTAAAAAATAACAAACTAATATTTAATAGAGATATTTCATAGATTATAAAGCCGCTTCGTCATTGCAGTCAGGCACGCACGCGCGTCGCATAAAATAAAGCAATCAATCATAAATTCAGAGTTTAATTTTACATTGATTAAATTCCAAATGTCCATACGAGACCGGGCTGAAATAGTCCTTCACGTTTCTCAGCTCTCCGACAAACTGAAAAAGCAATTTCTAGATGTTGACAATATGATTGAGTTATCTACTTATATTTACTTAGTACTATATTAATAGGTACGTGAAGCAAAAACCTTTGTGGGGTACAAAGTTGTTACGAAAATCGCACGGACGGAGGAGTATGAAGTTTTCCACATATATTATTATAGTTTATAGAGAAGGAGTGCAGAATGCTAATATATTTTGTAAACTAGCTTTTGCCCGCGACTTCATTTACGTAGAAAGTAATTTAAGTAAGACAATATTTTGAATAATAGAACGTTAAGGAGCTATTTAAGGTACCAAAATCACGCTTTTTAACCGACTTTTTTTTCTATGTGTAAAGAAAAACCTGCATAGTCTAAAAACCCTTTAGTAGGAAAAAGGATTTTTCTTATATGTCATTAAGTGAAGTTTGATATTCAGTAAAAATAAAGTTCAGTTTGTTTAAAAATGTTAATTTGATTAGATTAAGGGCTTTAAATGTTGTTTTCTCATTATACATATAAGATTAATAAGCTTCTTATATAGTTAATGTTGTATTGTTAAAATAAAAACTTCAATGTGTTGCTCTGAAAGAACAAAGATTTATTTTATTAGTTTTAATGAAGTTATCTTACGTACCCGTACCATATCACACCATCACACCAAAACACAACCCGGAAGAATAAAGTTTATTTTATAATCTTGTACTTATCTAAAGAGAAATTAATTTTATTAAAATTTTACGAAATGAAATATTGTTTTTTTTATTGCCCTTGTAGGCAGACGAGCGCACGGCCCCCCTGATGGTGAGTGGTTACCGTCGCCCATAGACTACAGCAATGCCAGGGGCAGAGCCAAGGCGCTGCCTACCTGCTGTTTCTTTGTCAAGGCTGCCTTTTCGACTTTTGAACACATGCGCGGACGTTCCAGCACATGTCGTGACATCATTCCAATTAAAGAAAGGAACAAGATTTTCTTTGCATACCTACATATAACAGAAAACGCAATGAAGTCTTTTATTGTTTATTTATTGTGGAGTACCCAATATTATTATATTATTATATGTATGTTCACCGATTTCTCGAGAATGATTGAACCGATTCTGATAATTCTCTTTTCTATTTTTTGTTCGAAAGGGTAGACTTCCCGAATTGTCCTGTAATCATCAAGACCTGATGATGGGATCCTGGAGAAATTCACAAAAATCTATAATTTTCAAAGCCTATCTTGAAGCGATTTGAGAGTTTCTTGTTATTGTTCTTATTCTGTGCCGGCGCGCACCGGCCG